TGAAAACTCAAAAGTTTGTTATTGTTTGAACACAAAAACTTTCTTTCCTTCGATTGACACTTGTTGTATTAACACAATTATTACAATTAACCAACTATAGATGAATTTCATTTTACCACGATCGAAATGAATGTAAAACTCATGTAACTTCTTCTATACATTGCAAGATAAGATAAAATATTTTCTTTTCTTTGTTTTAGTAATAGAACAATGCGAACCATACTTATATTATCTTTAAGCACATTCATTCATTTTTATTTTTACGCAAACAAAATATTTCTATACTTATCATTTACTTTTATATAGATCAAGAAAAATCGTAATATCAATCTATAAGTGAATGAAAATTGTCGAAAAACGTTTACTTGTCGTCAAAGAAAAACGATTCGTTTGTTACTCATTATTGGATGAAAGTTTATGTGTTCAAACAATAACAAACTTTTGAGTTTTCATTGTTTTGGCGCACCGACAGTTGAGCCCTCGACAACTGAGTCCCGACAGTTGAGCCCCGACAAATGAGCCCACCGACAGTTGAGCTCACAACAACTGAGCTCCTAACATTTGAGCCTATCGACAGTTGAGCGCACCGACAGTTGAGCTCCCAACAAATGAGCTCCCGACATTTGAGCTTTTTACATGCTGTGATCATAAAAATTATTATCTTTAAAAAATTTATTTGAAGAAACTAAAAATTAAATAAAGCTCTAGCTCTTTTGAAATATTCTTTTCGAGGATAAATATAAAAATTAGCAACCAAGTTTTGAAGCTGCTCATCAATGTCTTCATATAAAGTACGCTTGACTATTTCCATTTTTCCTGATTCAGCTTTTTCAGCAAAAATAAGATTCGCATGTTGTTCAGTTTTTATATCATGGATTGATTCATATATAGATGGATGTTTACGACACGAATTCTATATTAGGATGAAAATATGTGTTTAATAATAGATTCAATAGAAATCTGGTTCTTACTTTGAGAGCATTGTGCCACGCTTCTTGTGGATTGTTAGTGCGTGGAAGTTGATGATCAAGACGATCGAAACAACTCCAAAATGATATCAGAAATCGAGGTGAACGACGGCGACTATTTCGACCTATACGACCACGCGACATAGTTATCTTCGAAATAATCGATAAATTCTACGATGGTGAAAAGAAAAATAGTTATATAGTGAAATACATTTGATCCTAACCGTTCATTGTTTCAGGTGATTCTTCTGCCAATTTTTCGAATTCTTCCGTGACATATTGTTCAGGTACAAACGCTAAACAAGCGAAATTTTTTAGTTGATGTCTCACTTCACGATCATTGAGAAATAACTGAACTAAATTCAGTTCCTAAACGAAAAAGAAATCAGCATACCATAACTACTAAGTGTAATTTAGTTTAATCTTCATTTCAATTAAAACAAACGTACTTTAACCTTTTTCCATAGATTTTGTTTAAAATGAAAAAAGCAAGCAGTGACTTTTGTCGATGGAAACATACGTTTAATAACATTTCCGACTGCGCATTCAAAATCAATAGTTATCGATGTAGGATGTTTGTCGATATTTTGTAATATTATGTCGATTAGTTCTTTATAAACAGGTTCACCTTTACCGGGAAGATATGCATATAAAAATGGAAATGTACGACCTTGAAAATGACCATGAATAGAATATAATTGATAAAAAAGTTTGGGTGAAATCTATCAAATAAATTAAGTAAAACACAATCCTCTTTAGTCGTTCGAGGATAATTTTGAACTCACCTTGAAGGTGCCATCCATGTGCCAATGATCAGAATGTGAGAGACGATTTAAATCTGTGCGTGTAGAAAATATAATAATTCGATTATCACCTTTCTCATTGTCGTACAGCAAAAACTGATCGCCAGCATTACTCATTTTTAATTCTTCAGGAATCTGTATATCCTTGAATGAGACTGGTATGGGTAATGGAATGTTGTTTTTGTTTCGTTTTCGTTGAATTAAACGCTGTGCTGTTGTTCTCTTTCTCGTAGAGAAGAGTCCAGCAGAGATAAATTGTTTGCTTGCTTGCTTGCTTGTATGTCCGCAGGGTCAAAAAAACATCGAAAATCGATTTTTCGGAAAGGACCTTACCAGAGGTATTTCGATGGGTAGACTTCAAATCTGATCTTATTTTTTTAAAATTTTTCACAAAAAAATATTTTTTTTTAGACAAAGGACTATTTTTTTACGAAAAACTTTTTTTTCATAAAACTTCACCAAAGGGTTTTCAAGGTCGGGAAACTCGAATCTGATAATAGTTTTTTAGGATCTTTAAAAAAAAATTTTTTCTCATAAAATTTGACCAAAAGGTTTTTGAGGTCGAGGAACACGAATCTGATGGTAGTTTTTTAAAATCTTAGAAAAAAATATTTTTTTCAGACAAAGGACCATTTTTTTATGAAAAAAATTGTTTTTTACAAAAAATCATCAAAGACTTTTTTTAGGTCGAGGAACACGAATCTGATCTTATTTTTTTTAAATTTTTCACAAAAAAATATTGTTTCCAGAGAAAGGACCGTTTTTTAAGAAAAAATTTTTTTTCATAAAATTTGACTAAAAAGTTTTTTAGGTCGAGGAACTCGAATCTAATGTTAGTTTTTTAAAATTTTTGTAAGGATCAATTTTTCTCAAACAAAGAAATGATGTTTTTACAAAAAAATTTTCTTTACTAAAATTCAGCGAAGCGTTTGTGGAGTCAAGCAACTCGAGTTTCGCGGTATGTTTTGAGAATTAAAAAATAGTTTCCTGAAACAGAGGTACCGGTTTTCGGAAAAAATATAGAACCATCTGATACAGGGTATAGGCAAGCGTATAAGTATGATAAATAAAATATTGTGTTCAATATCTGGTGTTGTAATAATTAGTAACTAACTTTCACAAACGTAGTTTGAAGTAAACCATATACCTGACAACAAGACTGAACTTCTTCCCGGCCTTTTGCCTTTGGTACCAAACATGCCTGTACTTCTCACCGATAACATTGCGTGTGAACTAGGACTTTCGAATGGTACACAAGGA